CAGTAAGAGGCTCCGGGGACCGAGGTGGGTTCGTCGTCTTCGGGGGGCTCCTGGCCGTCACAGGCAGGCTTCTCTTCGGGGCATTCGCTATCACTTGCGAGACAGCAAGTAGGCCAGCCCAGAGCATAACAGGTCTTGTCCGAGGGGAGACCGCAGTAGCCATCGATCGCATCCGAGGCGGTSACGTAGAGGTCGAAGTTGAACTTTCCCTTGGCCGGCTTTTTCTTTGTTCCGGCCGGTCCCGGCCATACGAAATGGCCGTCGTTGATCACCGGCTGCGTGGGAGCCATGGCGTCGATGTCGGTCATGTCTTCCATGTAGGGAAAGGCTGGGGTTGTGTCGACTTCAGGGGGGCTGCCACGAAAATAGTCATCGACGCAACACCACGGGTATGTTTCAGATCGGTTCGAAATAGAGAGACAATAAATAATTGTGAGACCACTGCAGTCAAACCGCAGCAAACAACAAAAGTCGATCTCTATCGTCCTACAAAGAAATTAGCTTACTAGTTGGAATCGTCCCACGTGGTTCCGCATTTGTCCGGCATGACAAGGTTGGCAAGGTACGTCTCGACAGCCGCGAAAGCAACGTGTGGGTGCCTGTATTTCCCACGGTTTGGTCCGAAGTAGATGTAGGGGCACCAATCGTTGTAGACGTCGGCCTCCTTTCCTTCTTTGGTGCAGTAGTGGGGACTTCCGTGCCCGAGTTCGAGGTACTCGGGGTACAGGGATGCGTCACCGGAGTGCTGCTCGAAGCATTCCATCTCCCCGGCCTCGCTGTGTTTTGCCTTTTCCTTTTCGCACGTTTCACCGACCAGGTTGACAAACTCTAGCGGATAGCCACCACCGAGCTCGGTGAAGGGTGGCGGGTAGTAGGCTTCGCCCGTTTCGGGATCGCGAGGAAAGTATGTTCGGATCATTCTGAGAAGAACGTCGGGGAGGATTCGACATGCGTTGGCCTCGTAGTCGAAGGCATCCGCATAGATATCAGCCACGTCCATGTCTTGGTCTCCGGCCATGTCGTTGTAGAATCTAGTCACAAAAACGGCGAAAAAAGAGGAAATGTTTGGGTCGAACGTCAAAAGCCAAGCGTCGYGATGACCAYAYRTGAGAAAATTGAGCAAATTTCCAGGACATGGGATTCGGTTCGGTTCGGTTCGRTACGATTCGATTCTGCTTACCTCTGCACGGMGGCCAGAGCAATGTGCGGGGGGATGTGCCCCGGGCCGTTGGGTCCATTGTCTTCGTCTGTCTTGACCTTGGGGCATGCAGCACAGTTCAGGTTCTCCCCGTCAAAGTCTTCCGAGCAGTGGTGGGGCCCTCCGGCACAGGCCTGCCCGAGGAAGGGAGCTCCGTAGTAAAAGGCGTACTGGACGTCGATGTCGGTCGGGTATCCCCCCAGGGCGGGGTCGGCCCCGCTGAATTCCTTGGTGAAGTAGAGGGGCGACCAGCGCCCGTTGGGGCTTCCGTCCTCGCAGKTTTCGACGTCGTAGATTCGCTGCTCGTCCTCGTCGATGCACCAGGTGGGGAAGGCCTCCTCGATCAGGTCGCCGATGTAGGGGAGCTCGCTCGGGAAAGTAGAGTTGGCAGRATCTTGGCCCGCGGCAATGGAGGCCTTGGCAACGATCCCCGCAAGGATGGCCAGTAGGGTTGTCTTGGCGCTTGGACTCATCGTGGTCGTTCGTTTGGAAAAATCTCGGGCGCAGCTGTTTTGGTAGCTACGAGCATTCGCACCGAGGAATGATTTTATGAGTAAGAAGGAAACATGTCAAAAACGAGAATACCGGCACTACCGTACGGTTGCGACTTGATTGAAGCCTGTCCCGMAAGATTCGCGAGAAGCCTTTTGGTTTGCAATCATTCGTACGAGTACGAACATACTCGTCCCGTCCCATCGGAAACTCATTCGATTTTCGCCGTCGCGTGTCAGTTTTCGGTTTTGAATGATCCGCTTCGCCGTCGCAGTMCCTTGGTCTATCAATTTCGGTTTGATTTCGCGGGGACMGCTAAATCTTTCTAAAAACATCACATGCCGATCTCCATACGACAAAATGCCCGCCATCCCGAGTTCGCATGCACCATAGGGCACGTGCACGGAGACCTGAAACTATAATATTTAAAAATGAACGTGTAAGATAACACGCATTACCAAAATATCTTCCGGGAGAACTGATACTAAGTACTTACTGTACTGTACTACTGTTTTGAATCATAATGCTCGAGGTATGTTCCTGTTTTGAAAGTCGCAGAATTTTCCACGAAGTCTTGAATGAATGAAAACATGAATGAGAACCCTCGCGCTGTGCACCGTACGGTTCGTACGATTCGATTCATCTACGAGCACCAACGCAACGGATCGGATAGGTTCATTGATCTACCTACGTACTCCTACGGATGGTATGTACTTCAAGTAAGTAGTACTAGTACAACAAAGGCCACTGTACCTGTTTGCAATGACACCTTTTGTCCCATATTATTTGTCTTTCCTTTCGCTYGATGCTACGTACCGCACGGTATGGTACACCGACGGAGTTTGCAATACAGCGTTCAGCAGATGCTGGAGAAGCATCCATACGTACACACCCGTTCAAGCACGAGTACGTACGTACGTGGTCCAGAAAAAACACAGTGCTCGCACGAAAAAAAAAAGATCTTTTCTCCCTTGAACGGTGTTTGTTGTGTGTGTGTTGTTGTTCGATGCGATGCGATGCGGTGAGGGCAAAGAGTGCATCCGCATCATACCAAACCAAACCAAACCAAACCAAATCGAATCGAATCGAATCGAATCGAATCGAATCGAATCGAATCAAATAACCCAACAAAGGACCACACGTCCACCGGCACCGAGAAACCAGCTGCGCATCTTTTCTCGTCTCGTCTCGTCTCGTCGGAAGGCAGGGCAACAAACACAACCCCAACGAGACGACCACGAGACACCCCGGGAGGATGCGGTTCGGCCCACTTTCTCGCCGGGCTCCCGCCGAGAGCGTTTTTYCTGCTTCGGCACGCCCGGTGGCCGTTTTGCGGTCGGCTTTTTTGCCGCTCTGGCTCGTTGTTCTTGTTCTGGCGGCCCGGCCTCCTTCCGGCGCGGAGGCCCTGTCGTCGCTGTCCATGGCGGCCCCTTCCTCCGGGGCCGGCCGGGTGGCGGTGGTRACGGGCGCCAGCCGGGGCATCGGCCGGGGGATCGCCCTCGAGCTGGGGTCCGCCGGGTACACCGTCTACTGCCTGGGCCGCAGCAGCCGGGAAGCGGAACCAACAGGGGTGGGCTACCAGCGGCCCGTCGCAAAGGGCCTGGACCTCACGGTGGAATCGGCGGCGGAGGCCGTCACCGAGCGGGGGGGCAGGGGCATCCCGGTTCCGTGCGACCTKGGCAGGGACGGGGCCATCGAGGACGTTTTGGCAAGCAGGGTGGACGAAAACGAGGGGGGCCGGCTGGACGTCCTGGTCTGCTCGGCCTACGCGACGCCGCCCACCGGCATCCGCGGGGACTTTTGGGAGCAGGAYCTGGAGATGTGGGACTGCGTCAACGGCCTGGGACTCCGGCAGGTCTACGCGGCCTGCCGGGCCGCGGCCCCGCGGATGATCCAGACGGCAAGAAACAACGGCGGTGGTGCTTCGAGCCCGCCCCCCCTGGTGTGCCTGGTGTCGTCCTTCGGCGGCAAGTCGTACACCTTCAACGTGGCGTACGGGGTCGGAAAGGCCGCCATCGACCGTCTGGCGGTCGACATGGGCTACCAGCTGGCGAAACACGGGGTCGCGACCACGGCGCTCTACCCCGGGCTGGTCCGGACGGAGGCCAACCTGCAGATGGAGGCCGACGGGACCTGGGACGAGCAGAGCGGCGGCCTGGACCTGTCGATGGGGGAGACCCCCTCCTTCTCGGGCAAGGCCCTGGTGGAGCTGGCGGCCCTGCCGAGGGAGGCCATGATGGAACGGTCCGGCAGCGTGGAGGTGGTGGCCGAGCTGGCCAGCGAGTTTGGCTTTTGCGAGGCCGACGGGAGCCGGCCCTTCTCGATCCGGTCCCTGGGGTACCTGCTGCCGAACTTTGTCTTTCCGGCGATCGAGAAGGAACTGGGGGAGGGCAAGGAGCTCCCGGGGTGGATCAAGAACAACGTTCCAAACGTCCTCCTGCCGTGGTCGACCTTTTCGTCGGGCCCGCCCCCGGAAATGGACGACCGATAGGATGGATGGCCGGGAGAGACGTTTTGCCGCCGAGCCGTTTCGCGGACTTGGCCTCCCGGACAACAACACTTTTGAAGCACCGTACGGTACCGTAGCATGCCTCGAACGAGTTAAAAAGCCGAAAACACAAAAAAGGCGTTCTATCTATCGGTTTGGTCTTTTTTTAGAAAAACAATCCTAGTTTCGAGAATTTTTAGAGAGCTGCAGGGTTCGTGCCGGCAGCATGTCGTCGCGTTGGAGTGATTGTAGACCGACGTGCCTAGCGGGATGCGTTTGGTGTCGTGTTTGTGTTTGTGTCTGCCTTGGCTTTCGCTGCTGCTGCTGCTGCCTCCGCCCCCGTGCGGAGGAGGTCGTACTCGTCCCTCACCCACCCCAGGAAGCGGTCGGCGTCGGGAACCGCGTATTCCTCGGCCGAGACCGTGAGGTGGATCCTCCCGTCGTAGGAGGTGACCGTGAGGCCGATCGGGACGCCGGCCGGGAGGGGGAGAAACCCGAAAAAGACCTCKACGGGCCGGCCCTCCATGTGGACCCTGGTTTCCGGCCCGCGGACGTTGGTGACGACGACGCTGGCGCCTGCGTGGGCCCTGCGAAAGATCCAGGGCGTCCACGAGGACGACGAGGAGGAGGCCGAGAGGTAGCCCATGGCCCCCGCCAGCAGGTAGGACAAGACCGCGACGGGGGTTTGTTTCCGCTCGTGGAGGACCGCGTGAACCCTCGCCAGGCGCTCCGCGGCCAGCTCCGTGGGATCTGTGTGGTGGAGGTGGCCGGAAGGATTCGAGAGGGTCTCCCCCGGGATCCGTGAGACCATGGCCCCGATCTTGTTGCCCATGCTCTGGCCGGGGAGGAGGACCCCTCCCTGGAGGTGGACGGGTATGATGAGGTTCATCGAGGGGAGGCCGAAAGTCCGCTCGGGGGACGACAGGAGGCTTGGCTTTGTGGATCGGTGAAAGTCGAGCTGCCTGGCGATCGCCGCGCTGACGCAGCTGCAAAAGACGTCGTTGATGGTGATCTTGGAGGCCGGAGAGGTCATTCTTGGTTTGTCCTTGTCCTTGTCCTTGTCCTTGTCCTTGTTTTTGCCGTTCTCCCCCTGGTTCTGTTGGAGGTCCGTGTAGAACTTTGCGACGGCCTTTGCCTCGTCGACGGTGGACACGGTGGCCCATGCCAGGCTCCGTGGTGGCGGGGTGGGAAGGTTCCCCGGCCGCTGGTCGTCGTAGAGATCCTTGAGGACCGCCCAGGGGTTTTCGTGGGAGAGGCCGTCCCACCAGGTGGCCGCAAAGAGGTAGACCTGGTAGAGCAGGGCCCTGAGGGTCCCCCAGATCCAGTAGTAGAAGAAGACGAGGAGCTTCTTCCACCAGGGGGTTTTCTTCTTGTTGGCCCTGTGGATCCGGAGCCTGCGCTCGATGGTGGCCTGCATCTCGGGCCCCTCGTCCATGAGGTCCCCAAAGAGTCCCGCGAGGCTGACCCCGTCGGCCATGCAGTGGTGGGCCCGAAAGAGAAGGAGCGACTCGACGCCCGCGCCCGTGTCTGTGTCTGCATCTGCACCAGCGCCTGCGCCCGTCTCCTCGGTGGGCTTTGGAATGGCGCCGGACTGCCCGATGTAGCCCCCCGTGGCGGTCCAGGCCTCCCAGAGCGTGGTGGTCAGATCGAGGGGCTCGTAGAGCGAGGCGTCGTTGATCCGGCACTTGAGCTCGGCTCCCGGAACGGCCGGAAACAAGACGTCCCGGACGTTGTCCCTGGCGTCGTCGTCTTGGTGGTGGTGGTGGTTCTTGTTGTTGTTGTTGCTGTTGCTGTTGCTGTTGCTGTTGCTGTTGCTGCTGCTGCTGCTGCTGTTGATTCCCCCTTCTCCGTCCAAGCCGCCGTCCAAACCACTGTCCAAACCATTGTCCAAACCACCACCACCACCACCAGCGCCGCCAAAGACAAAGTGCGTCATGTCCTCGTCCAGCCTCGCCCGGAAGCGCGGGTGCTTCTCGGCCACCCTTCGGTCCCTGTAGAGGCGGCGGAAATCCGCGGACCGGTAGGGCCTGCCCGTCATGGCCAGGACCAGGACCGGGACCGAGGGGTTCTCTTGCGTCTCGCTGACCAGCGAAAACCGGCCCACGCTCGTCATCCGGCGGCGGTTCAAAGAGGGGACCGGGGGGGTCTTGCCCCTTGGTTGCGGTGGGGTTTGTGGTGGTTGCTTGTCGTTCTTGTTGTTCTTCTTGTTGTCGTTCTTGTTCGTCGTTTTCTTCTCTTTCTCGTCCCCTTCTTCGCCGGGTGCTCGGGCCGCTGCCTCGCAAGAGGTGGAAGCGATTCCGCTCGTCTCCCACCAACCTCCCGTGCTTCCGGCACCCAATCCGGGAACCGTGCTTTCCCTTTCCCCGTCGGAAAAGAGAGAAAACAGGGAGGCCGCCGCGAGGATCGCACCGGGGGCCACCCTTCTTTTCCCCGCGCCGGTTGGCGTTTTCGACACCGGTGGTGGTGGTGCTGGTGCTGCTGCTGCTGCTGCTGCAATTGCTGCGGTGCCCGTGGCTGCGCTCGGTGCCGCAACCGCAACCGTGGTCTGCTGCCGGAGCAGCCAGGCCCTCGCGGCCGCCGGCGGCCTCGCGGAGAGAAGGGCCCGGAGGGACATTAAATGTGTGGGGGGGTGTTTGTGTTTGTTTGTTTGTTTTCGTGTTTGTTTGTTTTCGTGTCTGCCCGCCCGTTGACAGCGGTGTGCTTCCGTGCCGGTGTTGGGCTCTCTGGCGGCGGTGGGGACGGGATGGTTCCGATGCTTTGCGATGCGATCCGATGCTTTGCGATGCGATCACGCCTCGTTTCGGCTCCTTCTTGCCAACAAGAAGATTGGTTTTGGCAGAAACGAAAATACGGTGCGACACTGCTACCGGTACGAGTACTCGTACCAGAGCTACGGAAACCAACGGCCTTGGGACTGGCACTCGTGTCAAAGACACGATCCTCGATCATCGGCGTCTGCCGATCCTATTGCCGTACGGTACTGTACGGTACAGTAGTACGTTCGAAAGTGCTGTAATACGTACTGTAATAATGTAGTACGTACGTGAAGTCAGTCCGTGACAACGGTACGGTACGTATTACGCACTTGTAGTACTAGCTGCTTCAATACTCCTAGTAGTTCCTCGGCGTGATTGCGTTGGGCGGATGGATGGAGGGACCCTAGCCAGATGCTTCTTCATCGGTACGTACCGTAGTACCGTACGTACTTACCCTTGGACGAGTACTAACAAGTACAGCATCGCAAAATGAAAGAGGAACTTCCGTCCGCCTCCCAAACAATTTTTTTGACCACTTCTACAACATTGTCCACAGTCCACACCGACTGCTGCTATTCTCGCGTACTACTGTACTAGCTAGCGCTACTATCTGACTGCCAAATACTGATTGGAAGAGAGCACAACAACATAAAGGAAAAATTTCCTGGAAACCCCCACCTTGTTGTTGTCTGGTAGTAGTAGCTAACCCCCAGTCATCACCGTGCAATTTTCAATGATGTCTTAGCCAGGGAGAGGTTTTGTTGCCTCTCCTGCCTCCTCCTACGAAGTACTAGTAGTTAAGCAACAACAAGTGTCCTATTTTATTTGTGCTCCTCCAAGCTCACCAGGACAAGAAGAACAAGATACTTGCCTATAGAAGAAGTCACAGTAGTAGATTCACAGGACAGTGGGGGTGTGTTGAAGAGCCAACAGGAACAACAACAAGGACAAGAAGAAGAATGAGCAGAAAGATAAGACACCAGCAACCACCAGCATGATGCTAGTAGCTACTAGTACTCTTCTTTCTGCTTCATGGATGGTTTCTTCTTGCTTTTCCTCACAAAGCATTCTTTCTGCTNAATGACTAGATGATGGAGGGATAAGAGAAAAACAAAGTTACTACTAGTACTATTCCATTTGTACTACTAGTTTCTTCTTACTACTGCACCAACAATCGAGGCCCTCTTCGAATTCGTCGTTGTTGTTGTTCTTACTTGAACACGTACACCTAGTCGAATCGAMTGGTGGTGCTCGTCGTGGCCGTGGTCGTCGCCGTCGTCAACATGAGTTTTTTTGTGGAAGTGTCATAGCTAACAACCACAAGTAGTACAACTAGAGCACAACATTTGGAGTGGAGCAAAAGGGTAAGAACAGCGATGCAAACAACTTCTTTCCCGACAAGTACGGTACGAGTTCCCAGATTGATCACTTCTGGCTGCACTTGGTCGTCGTAGACTGCATTTGGTCGTCGTCGACTGCATTTGGTCGTCGTGGACGACTGCGTTATGTAATCAAAAACGGTTTTTAAAAACATCTACTGTAACAATCCGCTACAAGAGTATTTTGGACTGCGGCCGGACCTACCGTACCATACCCCACAGGAACGAAGTTCCGTGATACAGATGAGGTACGAAACGACGTACTTCTGCTATTTCCTAAGCACTTAACGMTCGCATAAATTTGACTCCTTTGACCAATACGGGTATATCAAAGTTTTCGCTCGAGAAGAACAAAGAAGCACATCGGTATTCTCTGGCTTTGGGTTGAATGTTCGAAAGAATCTTTTGTGTCAACGAAAGATTTCACTTCGAAGCACTAGTGTGCAGTACATGATCATGCTACCGGTACTGGAATAAAGACGAGTACTCGTACGTGCCGGTTAGTAATTACTATCATCTCACCTAATACAGAGTGGTAGTGGTAAAGTACTTTTTAGAATAGTAGAGAACGGAACGTACCTGCTAGTACCGTACTTCCCGAACACAAGGTCTCGTTTTTGATGTTTTTCGCGGGACATTTACTTGTACGTACTCCTAGTTTTTCCTCCTCAATGCCTTTCTCACTGTATCATCAGTGTTTTGTGGTTCTGGCTGCGTGCAAGCGAGAGTACACAAGACACCTACGGTATTCTACCATAGTAYACTMTCCTCCAGCAACAAACAACGAGCATGACGGAAAGCAAAGACAACTGGCGAGAGACCCTCTACATCTGGGACGGCATCGTCACGKCGSGGATGCCCTCTCTGGCGGCAGAAGACAGCGCCAAGAACRGCGAGAGCGCCCCCATTCCGCTCCACTGGGAGGGCTCGTGGCTTCCGATCACGGGGGCTCCAGATGCCGCCACCGTGGAAGCACCCAAGCGGAATGCCTTCAAGAGGGAYATGGATGCGGAATGCAAATTTGCGGTGGGAGGAAACGCCACCCCTCTGACGAGAAAGGGAGACGAAMAGGACGACAACGACRACGACGACRAGGAACACTTCTTTCTCGCCAAGCTCGTAGACGGAACCGGTTGGGAAATGAGGGACGGGGACGGTGAGGCCAAGGCCACCCACAAGGACARCGTCCATGACGTTCTCCTCAAGACCATCCGCTGGTCCGGGAACCAAAAGGACGAGACGGAATCCCTTGTCGTGGCCAAGGGGGAGAACGCGTTTGGTCCCTTTTGTTCGGTTGGCTGGATGCGCCCGGGTTGCCGCTGGACGGTAGCCCGCAGGTACCTGCCCGAGGAGGATCCCCGGGCGAAGTGGTCCCTGGAAGAATTCTACGATGTTGTGGTGAAAGAGGCCATTGGCGACGTGGAGGTTGCAGGAACCAGCAAGGGAGGAGAGGAGAAAGCGATCAAGCGTCTCAACCTTCCACCATGGCAGGCTGCTRTCATGCACGTCGACCAYACTGGTGGCGAGAAACAAGAACAGGAAGATGGCGGGGGAAAGCGCCAAAAAGTTGACAAAGACTAACACCAGTGTTGCCGTTTGTGAATGGTTTGCGTCAAGACACAAGAGATCTAGAAACAATCGCAAAGGCAGAGACAACAGCTGCGCAGAGAAGGAACARACACAAGGCATTATCGAACAACAGCTCGAACAAGATCAACAGACTGTACCGCATGGAAGATCAGTCAAGAAGAAAGAGGTCGAGGTCACCACAGGGACAGAATTGTCCACTATTTTGACTGATTTCGTGGTCATGTATTATCAWATAACATAGAGAAGGACCGAAATCAAAATTCTGTGAGATGCTAAAATAATTTGAATACTATAGTAAAAATCATTACCATTCAAGCAAAATTGGTTCAAACGAAACTTCAAAAATAGAGAACACACATAGACACGGGAATGGGAAACAAAGTAAGCGTTGCGAGTTGTGTTCTTTTCTTCGTTTCGGGTTCGAAGACCATATTGCTTGTCTTCGTTTCTCTCACAAAACGAGAGATGAAATGAGTCATCAGTCTGGCATTGGTAACGATTGGAACGAAATAGAAGTTTGCATTCCTAGTGTGATTGGTTCGTTCCTCGTGTCGTTTTGGCTCGAAGTACAACCTCGGCATTGCCTCTCACAACGCACCGAGATTCTGTCACGCAGCCGACAGCTTCGCTCCGTAGACCCCGAACACCAAYAGCAGKATTTTCCCATCGCACGGTGTGGTTCCGATCTTCCAAACCGCGTGCACGGAGTTGTTTTACCCGTGCGTTCCGTTGCTATGCGTTTGCGTTGCGTTGCTTTGCGTTTCGTTTCGTTACGGGGACAGTATCTGCGGATGAATAAAGACTACAGGTCGTGCTGGATTCTCGTTCGGTTCTCGAGCCACCAGGCGTGGAACTTGGAATCGTCGCTGGAAAAAACTTCTTCGTAGACGCTCGGCCAATCGGWTTCCTGGATGCCCAGAGATTCTTCGCAGGCGTGCTTCATGGACTCGACAAAGAGCGACGRSCCCAAATCGGAATCACCAGCATCGAATTCACTTCCGTAGTGGTCCTTTAGCTTGACCAAAAAGTCACGGTGACTCCGATCGGAGCGGTACGCGGGACGCTTTTCGGGGAGCTTCAGGTAGTCTTCCATGTTGGCGTCGTCGTAATCCCATAGAAAACTCGTGTGGTGGAGCCATCCCTGTCTCCCAGAAATGGCTTGTGCATTTCCCCCCATTTTGCGGGTCTCGCCATTGATTTCGTCTGCACTGGTCAGGACGTAGTCGTCCTCCYGGAGGGAGAATGCCGGAACATTTTTTTTTCTGTGGGTGCCARTGGAGGAAGCGGTAACTCTTGTGTTGAGTTTGTCAAAGGTGGGTCCAAARACAGCCTTGGCTGTCCATTCCATAATATCCCGTGGAAACGGCTTGCAGAGCTCCTCTCCGGCCTTGTTGTTGCCGTTCGTCGGTTCTGTTTCTGTTGCAACTTTTTTGCGCCCGGCGATCAGCGTGGTCCAGATTGCGTTTCCATCCATGACAACCGTCCCGCCACCCGAAAACCGCTTCGCTACCAACAACCGGTTGGCCCGTATGGTGTCGGAGTTCAGAAGCTTTTCGGCTTTGCCGCCGATGCCCATGACCACCATTCCGCTGGGATTGGGAAGGCGGCATTCGGTGGTGGAGGTTGTGATGTAGTCCGGCAGCGTTTTGAGGTGTTTGTTATTTTTGTTGTTGCTGCTGCTGCTGAGCATAATACCCTCGTCCCCTCTATCATCACTTTTTTTCTCTGTGACAGAAATGTACTTCGAGGGCCACACTGAGTGCCGACCCACTAGAATCCAGTTGTCCTGGGTATGTTTCAAAAGGTATTCCTCCAACGACAAGCGTTCAAGCATAGACAGGCCCGCATTCTCGAGATCCAGCCATCGAAATATTTTTTTGCTTTCGTGATTGCCGTTGTTGTGAGAAGAAGAGGAGAACGAACGGGAAGAAGGACASCATTGATGTGTGCCACCGCTGATCGGGCTAGGATTGATGTTTGTATTGCCGATGTCGAAAACTTCGGGGACAGAGGCACTTTGGAAAGCATGACACAACACGCGCCATTGTCTCGTGGGACTTAGCAACAAAGAGGATCGTTGAAATACTGTTGGAAACATACTCGGACACCTCACTTTTCAATAGGTGGAGGAGTAGCTTTGAGAATCGTGCTCACTTCTATCGGTATTGTTACGGTGATAGTGATTTGCAAAGCAGTAGTAGTATTTTGAGGAAAAAGCGAATGAATCAATCGATGGGCTCCTCAATTTTCCGGGAGACACTTTTCTCGCGTTCTCGGATGCAAGATGCAACGCACTTTTAATCCAAACAGGATCAAATGAGTCAATTAAATCAACGGRAAAAACCGTCATCTCCCTCCTAACGTCAAGTACGTACTCGTACGTACCCATTACCAGTACGTATCTCTTGTGGGACATCCTACCGAACGTACGGTACGTACGTAGATACTAAGACGGACTCGTCTTAACAGGAATCGACGGTTCGAAGTTGCTTTTGTATGGTTTCCGGGACGTTTTTCTTCGAGCTTGCGATTCGTCTTCCGTGTTGAAACTCGGATTGACGAAAGCATTCTACCTTACGGTACCCTACGGTAAGCAAGGTGGAAAATAGGACCATGATTGTTCTATYCTGGCATCAACCCACAAAAAAAACTAACATGGAAGTACTTCCAATGTAATTCCTTTTGATACTAGTAGTAATCATTGTGAACTAATGACTGCAATGAAAATAACTTCAGACACTCCAAAAATTCAATCTCGGCATCAAATCAGCGGAGTAACAACCATTGCAAGGACAATCAATCAAGAAAAGAATTCCAACTTTGTGAAACTGCAATTTTTCATAAAATTTTGAAAGTGGTATTACACAGTACMTGAAYCACAACCGTAACTTCAGAATCTTAATCGTAGCTTTAGTTGCATTCCCGCGGAACATGCTTATCGTTTGGATCATCGAACACTGTTCTGGTAGTAGCTTGTGGATCTTGCTCATATGCGATCAGCGGTGCTGTGGGTCTCGCCACAACATAATGTGAGGAAAAATGTACAAAACCCATTCATGGGACGACTCGCAAGGATTGACACATATCAGTAAACCATCCCTCAGATTGTCCAATCGTTGCCATTTTCACATCCTTGATGCCCGTCTCCTTTGACTCACTCTTCGGGCCGCGCTGCCTCGATCAGAAACATCATCCCCATGATCCGCAGTCCGTTCACCACCAGGATCTGGAACTTGTCCCGGGGGACCTTGGTGGCGAGGACCCTCCCAAAGGATCCTCCAGCGAAGAGGGCCGGCAGCAGATAGCTACTGGCCTTGCACCGCTCATAGGTTATGATCCCCTCTGCGTATTGCGATAGGCAAACCGGCACGTTAATGACGAAAAATAATAGCTGCAGGTTGGCCCGAAAGAGCTCAGGTTGATTCTGCCATCCGGYCTCCCGTGCAAAGATCAAAAAGGCCGGCCCACCGGTCCCAAAGGCCCCCATGAGGGCTCCACCAACCAKTCCAGCGCAAATTGCAGTGGGGTTCTGTAGCATGCTTTTCCTAGTGGTGGTACTGCTGCTAGTCGAGCTGTTGGATTTTGCTATTGACGTCGACGTATTGGCACTGGGCACGTTGTGGTTGCTGGCCGCCACGGATATCGTATGTCGATGGGTCAAGGGAGATATCGTCTCCGTCACGTGCGGCACTTCTTCCGCAATAGGTGACGGTGGTCGAGTGTCCTGGCTATCATCCTTTTTCTCTTCCTCCATTAACACCTCCTCTAGAGGCGCCAGGGTGAGATCGCTTGTTTTTCGTCCAAAACCATGATGCTTTGGATTTTTTGGCGCTTCGCTATGATCTGCGGGCTCCTCATGCTCGTCATTCTTCAAAAATGTGTACACAATCAGAAAAATTCCGAGAACGCAATCAATGGCATTGGAAGACCACGAAGTAACAATCCACAGTCCGAACACAATCCCGAACGGAACGGTCATTGCCAAGGGTTTCAGTGCGTTCGGGGTACACTGCCTCCACGTGCTTGCCAAAAGGATCGTGTTCAGGGCAATATGCATCGGTTGCAAGACTCCTACCGCATCCGGAATCGTCGTAAACAAGGGAAAGAAGGACATCCACACAAGGGAACAACCAAACCCTAGAATGGCTTCAACGATGGACCCAGCAAAGACCGCCAGAGTTGCGGCGATCAAGTGGTGCATTGTGCCACCATCGTGCATCATTTTGTTCTATAGTTTCAGTAGTTTTATTTTTTGAATCCGTCGTATATGAACACTGGCCTCTTGGCTTCTTTTCGCGACGAAATCAAATATTGACAGTAGCACCTCAAGTTCAGAAAATACGACGGCAGCAGGAAAAAAATGTTTTCTTTTGCCTTCAGAAAAAAAAGTCTAGGACCGGGAATCTCCTACAACGCACCCGCTCATATATACACAGGATCAAAAAGAATGTATTCAATAACGAGTGTTGGTCAGGTCAAATTGACAGAGTGATGTTGTGATTCGAAAACTACTAGGATGTCTGTCAATGTCTGTTGAGGGCTGAGTTTTACTCGAAAATGATGTCCGCAGCACGTSAAAAACACGTCTTCGAATATTTTTCTGTTCCTCTCTCGAAAACCATAAATTCCAGTATTTCGTCACCTAGCGAAAGAACTGATCGTACCGTACGTATGTCCTGTAGCTACGAAAACGTACTACAGTACTGAACGGGAAGGAATGTTCTGTTCGGTTACGTAATTTTGTGCGCGAAACCGCGCGAAGAAATATTTTCCTGAATGAAAGGGAGGATTACGAATTACGAACGGTATCTGGGTACGTACGAGTAACGGTACTCGTACTTGTACTTGCTTTTTTTTTGCCTTGAAGCTCTGTTGAGACCATTAGCTTTAAAATTGATTGATTATCTGGATTGAAGGATCGAGGAGCACAAGCTAGGCTTACTTATCCATATTATGTATATTCTTTCTATACCATTATTCTATTTTCCTCTTAGTAGCGGTCGTTGCTGTAAGTTARTAAGAAGGAAGTCATCTAAAACGGAGCAGTAGCGTTTGAACCGTCGTTGTCTATCATATCCAGAAGGAGTGCTTTATCTCTGATGACGTTCATGTCGTCCTTACTGCTAACTCTCGGTATATCTTCTTTGCTACCCAAGCTGGATTTGGATAGCGACCTCTTCATCTTTCGGATGCCCGACTCTATGGCGTCTTCCATAGTTGATACCGTAGGATAATTCATTACAACAAACTTGGTCCACTCACGTTGATTTCGGTGTTTCTTTGTCTTACGTCTTGACTCTTTGATTTCGCTGGTAGAATGACCGCTTTGTTTTAGCAAATCCATTCTCTTGAAGTGACTCAAATAGAGTTTATCTTTCGTTCTCGTTTTCGGACGGTAGGCCTCGTAATCCTCTACCTTCAAATCTTCCATATCTTCGTGCTTCCAATCAAGTTGGATTGGCGCCCCGTAGCTACAAGATGGATTATCCCCAATGGTTACCGAATGCTCCCTGATTTGAATTGTGCCAAAGGAGATACGCTTCTTCATCGCACCTTCCACGAATGACGAATCAGAATTATCTAACGCATTCCCATCGCTGTTTGAAGCGTCGGAATTTTCTAATCTCCCTCCTTCGTTGTTGGAAGACAAATCATCAATATCAAACTGCTCCTGGTAAATAGGACGAAACAGAATAGGTTCTGATACAACTCGAAATAGTCCCGAGCTGCTGCTGCGAATCATTCCGTTTGCCTTTTCAGTCGACKCACCCTCAGGAACACGCGTTCGCTGTGATAAATCGGGCTTTGGCAAAACCCGATTAAATTCTTTTCGTTCGAAATCCAATGGAATGAAATCTTCTCCATAAGAGGATCTTTGTTTTAAGGAGGATTTTTTCCCACTAGACCGCCGCCTTGAAGGCCGACCTGAAGCTATTTCTGCGGAGGGAGTTGAATTTTGAATTTCATCTTGAAGTGAGCTTGTTGTGCTGCTTCGTTCGCTATCTTCCTGGTTGCCATCGATAGCGTCGTAGAATCCGTAATCTTCGTCATCTGTTGGCTCTGTACCGTATTTATCTGACTCATTCGACGGCGTGCGAACCGCCTGCGGTGATTCTGTCCCATATTCCTTGTGCTCGAGAAGGGGACCGAGGTCGTTGATCTTCTCGACGCGCATTTGGAAACTCTGTGTCCCAAATCGTGGGTGCAGTTGAGGCGCGCTGACAACTCGTTTCATGGTTGGCATTGTGGACTACCGTAAAATATGATTTCGAAAGACGAATATRCTGTAAYCGGGGTGTRATGTCACGCACTTGTTYGCAATCGACGTTCATACGAACTTTGGTTTGCTTCTGAACAAAATGAAATTGTGAATATGCCAAATTCGTACGGGCGGATGTTGTCAATGCCAAAATTCGTACGGGCGGATGTTGTCAAGCTTCCGCACAGAAAGCAGAACTAATTGGCTTCTCAAGTTGAGGTGGCAAAGTTTTTCGGAATACTGACCGTTGTTCGCACTACGGTTAATGTCATAATTGTTTAATATACGTAAGGAACTGTTCTACAAGAATCAAGAATAGTCCCTTAAAAAACGAACACAAGTATCTATCCCCACAACAAGCTGTTCGAACTGATTTCAACCGTTGTCTAGTGACGTGTTTCGGAAATGTCAATTCGTTTTAATGCTCAATGAATGAAAATCGAAATTTGGTCGGATTTTCTCTGAAGGAACTTTTCAATTATTATTTTCGAACTGCCACGTTGTGTACATGCAGACACAGCACGAGTTTTTCAAAGAGAATTAGACGGAATAGGTTCCCTACACGTGGAATAATAGCGTCAATTCGAAGTAATTGGACTTCCTTCGTACCGGTCGGTACGTACCTCAACAGAAAGTTGTCACCTTTTTTAAAACTATTTCTGTCCACCGGATTTGCTAATTCAAAGCTTTCCGAGCACTTTTTTGAAATCCGTGTAATGGGTGATTCCCGTTAATCTAGATGGTCTAAAAGTCTAAAGTAGACCGTTTAGACTTTTTAGTTTAACGGGAATCATTAAAAACAGGGGCCCAACAGACATTTTTAGGCGCTCATTCTGGTCATAAAGGAATTTGGAATCTCGACATCTTTGTTTCTGTGTTTATGTCTTCTTCCTTCCATGGTGTAGTAAAAAATTTTAAGTCTTAAATTTGGCGGGTCTTTTCAGTTGAGTCCTACAATGGATTTTCATTCTTGGATTCCGGTCTAGATTTAGACTTTCTGTCAAGGGTGGATTGTGCGTTGACAGAAAGTCTAAAAATT